TGAAAAGTCATTGGGATTAAATGGGCTTCCGGGCACCCACACTATTCTGCATTTGTAGGACAATGAACTGCCTGCCAAAAGGGCCTGTAGCAGTAAGTGTCCAAGCATCTGCTGTTTCAGCTGGAACTTTTCTTAACCTGGAGAGGAGCAGACACTTAAAACCAGGAAGAGTGAAGGAAACGCCACCAGCCAGCTGGTCATATGCATAAGGTTTCTGGGTAAGTGTTGACTGCAGCAGCGTAAACTCATGACATTTTACAAAACTCAGCTGGTATAGCTCACTTTTATTTCATTTCATAGTAGAAAAATATATCACACTGTTAAGCTTCTTGTCCAGACCTTTGATTTTAATGTAAACTTAGATGCTTATGCTTAACAACAGAAGATATATTTAGGCTTCGTCAAGTTTTCTTCCAGTGCCTACTCTTCTTACCCTCTTTTTCATGGACAGTAGTTAAGACTCAAGCAGTGTTGCTTTTTCCCATCCTACTTTCCTTCAAGACAGGATTATAGAGCAGTAGAGTCAGACAGTATCATGTGAACTGGAAAATATTTGTAGAGGAACAGTTTCTGCATGTATTAAATTAAAAAAATCAAATAAGAAAGTCTAGATCAAAGGATAATTGTTTAAGATTAATCTGAGTTCAGTATAGGGAGTTGTTTCCAGTGACAAAAGATCTAAATCAGCTCAGTTGTCACCGCCTCTGTGAAATTGTCCTCATTTCCCCCAGTGGAGTGAATTTTTCCTTCTGGAAGCACTTGACAGATTTCTGCCATCAACCACCTTCTCACTGCATTATCGACATTCATTTGTACGTCTGTCTAGTCTAGTGGTTCTCAATCAGGGTATTTTCGCTCTCAGGGGATCCTTGGTAATGTTTGGTAGGCAAAACTGGGCTGGGCTATGCTACTGGTGTCTAGCGAGTAGGGGCTGTGGATGTCACTAACCATCCTACAATGCACAGGCCAGCTCTCCAGGTAAACATGTTTTCCTCTCCAAGTGTCAGTAGTGCTGAGGTAGCAAAACCCTGCTCCAGTCCAAGAGATTTGAAGGCAGTGTGTAGCTGGGCATATAAGACATAAATAAATGCAAACATATCATTTGATTAAAGAGCACAGTAAAAAAGTCTGCTCATTTCTTATCATTCTTTGCAGTCAAAAATACATGAAAAAAAGTCAACCTGAGGGACTCTGGGGGTGGGCCAGAAAATGAAATCCATGTAACATTTCTTTAGAAAGGCATTGTTCAGTACTTACCTTAGCTGATAGGGCTGGCACTCCTCATTCATCAGAATAGGTGCATACTTTTATCTGAATTTGTTTAGTTCCTCAGTGTGGTTTTTGGATGCAGACTTGATTTCCTGCTCTCTGTTATGCGCAGAGGCTTGGGGTAAGACTATAGGGTGAGACACAGAGCTAGCAGTCAGTACACAGGTGGGAGGGAAGCTGGAAATGGACAAGAAATCTCCTGCATCCATTTTATTCCCATGTGAAAAGAAACCATGCTCTTGCTTTTGGGAGGGAAAAGAGAAAGCACAGGAGGAACAGGTAGCTTGACCTCCTGGACCCTGGGCCTCGCGGTCCGGCGGGCGTCTGTGTGAAAGCAAAGTTGCCTTGGGTGGGGCTGGGTCTTCTGGACAGTGCTTTTGCAGAAAAAGTGAGCACAGGCCTGATACCACATACTCTCAACCACCATCAGTGTGCCCTGTTAGGATATGTGTGGACACAAAGCAAACACACAGACATACTTGTTGAAGGGACTTTGATATAAACTTGGTAATGAATATATTTGATTTAGGGAGAGACATGAGCTTTGATAACCACCCAAGGAGTCACTACTAAGTATTTACTCTTCACCAGGATGTTGACCCAATGCTGTTTTCATTCCATTCATTTAACCATTCCTGTGAGTTGAGAAAGGCCATCTTCTTTTTACAGATGAAAGAACTGAGATCCAGAGGTCAACCATCTTGCCCAAGGCTGCAGAACTTGTGTGGCTGAGAGGATCTGAACGCCTCTTTTTGCAGTGCTTTAAGGGAAAGGCTTTAGTTTCTGTGAAGCAGTGATAGGCAGTCAGGGAAGGAGGCAGAATTGGGTCTAAGGCTGCCTCAGCTAGTATCCAGGTCCATGCTGCTCAGCAGACCTTGAAGCTAAGTGATTATATAGTTCTCAGGCCCTAAAGCACAAGGGAGACATCAATTTATCTAAGTACTTTTTGGAGCAAAACCTGAGAACATCTGGATAACCTTGATGTGAATGTCAAGGCCAGCTGGGTACCTGAGAAGGCAGAGGGAGAAGGGGCTACCCAGGGCAGGAGGGGGTGCACCAAGAGAAACTCAAAACTCTAGCTATGTGGAGAGAAGCCTCTTCATCCTTCATGTATGAAGTGCCCGTGGTGAGCCAATGAGCTTCAGCCAAGTCCACATTTCTCTGCCCCAACTTGCTGTTCAGCCAATAAAACATAACTCCTTTGTTTTCAACCCTGGTCCCCAAAACCTATATAATTCATTTCTCTCCTTAATCAGGAAGGTAGATTTTAGTTTATCTCTTACTTCCTTTCCGATCAATTTGCAAAAAGTCAATTTCTCAAATACCTGATGTCATTATCTGATCTAGGGACTTCAAGTAGAGGACACCATTGGTTGGTAACAAAGTTCTAGGCGTTCTTTTACCTGCATTTTAATGAAGACAGTGTAAGGATCAAGTGGCCTTGACAGAATCCAGCCTCTGTTATAAAAAGTGTCACCACCTCCCTGAACACATTGTTTGTGATTCTTCAGGCCACACTCTATGGGTGGAGTTACAATCCCTGCTTCCATCCATGCATTACAGACCAGTTTCCACGAGCTAATGAGGAAACCCAGCCTCTCTACAACCCTCCAGAATTTTCTTCAGGCCTTGAGAATTTTGGGTAGCTCCTTATCTATATGTCATGCAACTTCCTGCAGTGTCCTCCTTCATTTCCCTCTGTCTTTGACCTGACCTCTCTCCGGCTCTATCAGTGTGGTGAAGACCTTAGAGTATAGCTTTTGGAGTCAGACCCTTCACATTTCATATCCTGCCTCTGCCACAAACTCGCTGAGAGCTTGGACAATTTGTTTATGTTTATTTTCTTCCTCTATAAAATGAGAGTAAAGACTGTGCCTAGATCACACTGTTATAAGGATTAAATGAGATAATCCATTCAAAGTACTCAGCATGGTGTCTGGTGAATAGACTTGTTTCAAGTTTAGCTATTATTAATGTTAACTCCGCCCTGTCTTCCAGGCGTGATAAGAAATAGCAGCAACATTTGGAAACTGCCTGGGTAGAGAACCCTTTAGAGACCACCCTGGGGATACATCTCTATGGAAACAGTAAGTTTCTGTATTTGGAGAAAAAGATAGGGGAAGGTGGTGACCTCCAGCTGGAGAAATTGAGCTCCCTTCAACTCCTCTATACCTCTCATAGGCATTTTGGAGTTTTATTGGCCTGGTTAACATTTTTTCATTAAACATTTTTTTAAAAATGTTATTCCTACAATGTCTAAACAGGTAATCTGTGTTATTTTTAGCTAGGCTTGTCTGTTAAACTTTCAAATATATATATATTTTTTTTTCCCAAGAGAAGGGTAGATCTGGAAGGCAGACTTTTTATTTTTAAGATTTATTTATTTATGCATGCAAGAACTAGGGTACAGGCCAGAGGTGCAGGGGGTGAGAGGATTCACCAGAGACAGAGTGATAAACAGAACAGGCAGATTGACTGAAATACACTGCCGAGGAGAGCAGAGGGCGAGTCAGGAGAGGTCTGCTGCACCATATGGGTCAGCTCCCAGGACAGGGATTGAACTGCTGCTGCGTCTTAACCCCTTGCACCATCAGGGAGGCTTCAGACATTATTTTTAATAAGAATTTCAGGCAGGTGGTCCACAAAGTGGTACTATAATAGTTAAGGTAAGATTTGAGAAATCAATTATTTGGAAGAGGTTATCAAAATGTATATGCATGGTTCCTGAAAAGCTCACTAGACTTAATCTAGTTCTTTAGTGTATGTTGAGAGCTGGCACTGCTGAGGTGGAGGGAGTTACTCCTCCCTCTACCTAAGTCTTTTTGGAATTCTTATTATATGCTTTATTACACAGTAAAGTCTGTATCCTCCTCACATCTTGAGCTGCAGAGTAATTCGAGTTTGAGGTTGTTTCTGTCCACCATTATCAACGGGGAACACATGGGATTGAATTAAACCTGAATTCACCCCCATGGGGAAAACCATAAGCTCTAAAGCAGATTTAATGGAAACAATGTTTAATTCTGCTTCCAAGTATCTATCTCTGCCTGAAACAGCAGGATCTTCCCTGTTCCAGGATCCTATTATAGGCTGGCTCTTCTTTGCAAATAAAGAGAATCTACTGTATTTAGTCAAAGCACAAAAGGATTTATCTAATAAAGAATAGGGCCTCCTTGGTGGCGCAAGGGGTTAAGCACAGCACTATGAAGCAATCTGCAGCCTCTGCAGCATGAGTTCGATCCCCGGCCAGGGAGCAACCCACATGGCACAGCAGACCTCTCCTGACTCGCCCGCTGCTCCCCTCAGCAGTGCGTTTCAGTCAGTCTGTCTGTTCTGTTCCCCACTCTGTGTCTGGTGAATCCTCTCGCTTCCCCGCCCCCATACCTCTGGCCTGTACCCCAGATCTTATATGCATAAAAATAAATAAATCTTTAAAAAAAAAATATAGGAAGTTCACAGAAGCTCCATATGAACCAGGAGAACTCCAAGCCAGAACACTGCTGAGATGTTCCTGGAATCTGCTCCAGGCATGGCCGGCCCTGCTGCCATTGCTGTGGGAACTGACTGGACAACTTGCAGTGCTGGTTTCCCTCACTGGCTGCTAGAACAGGGGTCTTTTACACTCCAAAAGAGGGCAGTTTCTTTCCCCATTGCAAAAGATGGATTCCACTTGGAGCCTGCTTCTTCATCTTCCTCCCTTCTTTCTTCAGAGCTTATGTTTTAAGCAAGTGCATCTGATTATGACCTCTCTCTGTCACAAGAGTTATCCACCATTACGCAGAAGTTGGTTCAAACCTGCCCATGAATGCTGACTGTTAAATTTCAGGGGATTTTATTGTTCAGTTTAAAAATTATGGGTAACTTGAAATAGGTCATGGTAGTAATATTTACACCATGGAAATTGGAAAGTGCTATAAATCAGTTTTTTACCCCTTTAAGGAGCCAATTATGAAACATTTACCATCACATCATTGAAGAGGATGCTGGGTAATTTGGGCTCACAACTCCTTTGGGAAAGTGGACCTCATAATGTGTGAAAGTCTCTAGACACAGGAATGCTGTTTAAAATATGTTGCATACACTATTTACAATAGGCAAGACATGGAAACAACCCAGATACCCAAAAATAGATGACTGGATCAAGAAGATGTGGTACATATACACAATGGAATATTACTCAGCAATCAAAAAAGATAAACTCATGCCATTTGCAGCAATATGGATGGAACTGGAAGGGATTATGCTCAGCAAAATAAGCCAGAAAGATAAGGAAGAATATTGGATGGTTTCACCTATAGGAGGAATCTAGGGAAAACACATAAGGGACCAAGAAAGAGAAATAATTATAATAAATTAAAAAACAAAATATTAACAGGCAACTGTTAATCAGAGACACACTGCAGGGGCAGGGGAGGGAGAGGAATGAAAACAGGAGGCAACCTGTTCTTATATAAGGGACTATGGTGATGGTGCATGGGTGCATTGGTGATGGGAGTTGTGCAGGGACTATAAGGAGAAAGCATGCATTGTACAAACAGGAAGAACATTGTAAAAAAAAGTATATATATAAAATAAAATATGCTGCATAGCCACTGAAATAGGAAACTGTTGGTTTCAAGGTTTCCTCCAAATGAGTCCCTCATCAAAGTGTCTTCTGATGCCTGAGGTAGAACTGCAGTGTGCTTCAGGTTGTAGCTGGAATTTACTGCCTTGTCTCCTTTATGTGGCCACGTGACTGTTTCCCCTGAAATAACTAAGAGCATCATTAAGGCACAAAACGGAACCATGTGGCCTTTTGAAACATCACTGGGAAGTAACATGTCATGGCCATTCTGAGTATGTGATCTTTTAGTTTTGAGTCTGGGAATTATTCCTAGGGAAGTAGAGAGAAATGACTCCAAAGATAAACTGATGATGCAAATGGCCACAGAGCACTTATGAGAGACGTGTAGCAAGGGGCACCTTCTTTCTGAAAACAGAAGAAAATTAAAGAAAAAAGAGGGAGAGATTTGGCAGATTCAGATGGGGGAAATCTGATTGCTGTAAGATTCTCTCCATGGGGAATGAAGTAAATTGGGAAGGCTAATGTGTGAAAGTGGGGCTAACTCTGAGGCATTAATAAAGGACAGAAGGTGTGGGTCCTGTGTCTTTGTCCTTATCTTTTCAAGGCACCAGGGAGACCCCCTGGGGCTTCCTGAATTCAGGAGAAGCAGTTCCGGTCTTGCTCAGGACAAAGCTCACCTTGACAGGCCTGCAGCTGGTCTGCCCCCCACACCCCCCCCCAGTTATGATCGTCTCAAGCACAAGCACTGGAGGACCATTCGACCTGCTGTGGACTGGTTGGAGTGATGGTCAGTTTCAGGTATCAGAGTTGTCCCTGGAGCCCAGAAACAGCAACACAGCTCCAAGTTCCAAACAGAATGTTTTCAAAGAGACCTTTTTGTGAAGGATACAAAACCTTCTCTTAGCCACAAAGCACCCTTCCTCAGTGACAAAAGCTCCTGTGCTGGGTGCAGGCAGGACAGATTACCCAACCCAGGGGTGCCAGAAGGTGACCCAGGGCACCAGTGTGACGCCCCTTTTGGGTAACAGCCACTTCACCCACTGCCTACTAAAATAAAGTGCTTCATAAGGCCTCTCAGGGGTTCCTTTGGGATGCAATGGTCAGATATATACTCAGCCTGGTTTTTCTCACTCCCAAGCTGCTTCCTTGTCTTACACTCTGGAGATTTAGATGCAGGTGTAGAGCAGAAGTGGAGAATGATATGCATGGAAATAGACCTGGATCCCAAGGCACCCTGGGCCTGTGGAGAAAACATTCACTCTCTGAACAGTAAGAACCTTTTCCAAATAAACCACCAGCTCAAGAGGCTTTATCTCAGGCTCTGCTTCTGGGGGAAGCCAGGCTAAGATAGCATGCATCAAGAAATATTAACTTTAATTAATATTTTGTGTTTTCCCCATCTAGCATATTCTACAGGAAATTCAATAAACTACCAAATATTTCTGGGTCTTTCTAGAAATTCTCATTCCATTCTCTGCAGGTGCACTGGTTTTTGGCATTGCAGCCACTCCTCTTATTATCTCTTTATCTCTTGTCTGTGCCATCCCAGCCTTTTCTGTTCTGCTTCTGCCCAAGCTAGGAACACACTGGCTCCCTACACCCAACCTCTCTTCCCCAGGCACCTTTAACACAGGACTTTGTAGTTAGGAGAGATGCCTATGGAAGACTCATGGGGATACTTTGACTTCACCGAATAAGGATGTTTTCCTTTTTCTTGGAAAAAACAATGAATGAACACACGGTGGCTGTTAAGTAAATGATACTAAGACCTGTGTGTTCTTTTCTGGAATATACATCCTGCATATTTTAATCAGGGATAAGAACAAATAACACCTTCAAGAGGCAAAGAAGACAGTTGATTTATTTCCCCCTTTTGAGAGGATAGCTCAAGAGACCAAGCTTTTGTTCTCATTTTCCCATGAAGCAACCCCAGATCCATCTTCAGCATTCCTATCACTCCCCTGGGCTCTGTTCTCACTTCATCATTCCCTGAGTGGCTGATTAGATTCATGTTATAACGACCCCTTTGGACTACACTTCTTCCAGAGGTGCCTTCTTAGAACACAGATGCAATTATTGCATACTGTGGCTTAAAACCCATCCATGGGGCCTTACTGTACAGATAGTGAATGGTCTCTGTGTGGACCCCAGGGTCCCTGATCATCTAGGCCCTGCCTGTTTCTCAGTATATCTGTCTCTACTTCTGCTTCTCGCCCTGTATCTGCAACCAGCATCAACACCACTTGTGAACTTGTTAAAAAAGCAGATTCATGGAACCACTTCTGACCTATTCAATCAGAAATGGTGAAACCCCTTCACCTATGCTTTAGTAAACTCTCCAGGTCTGTCTATGAAAGCTCAAGTTTGGGAACTCCTCACCTAAGCCAAGCAGGAATGTTTTTCACCCCCTAGCATATTTGGAAATTCCTACTCCTCCTGCAAGAGTCAATTTGTTCATCACCTCTTCCATGAAGCCTTCTCTGCTTTCACCTGACAGCATTTACTACTCCCTCTTGGTGCTCACACATTTCCATTGTGAAGTATAAACTGCAGTTTTGTAGCTTACTTGCGTGTTTCCCTTGCTAGACTGTGAGATACTTGAGAGAACAGAAGCTCTCTGAAAATTTGTTTTAACTTCTCTGGCCCTTGGTCTCTCTCTCAGTTTGTCTGACACACACACACACATACAAACTCACAAATTCTATAATAAAGGAGATTGCAGGAAAGAATAGGAAGCCACTGTTCAAAGTTCATTGGTCATTTTCACCACCTGGAATCTCTTTGACTGCCTTTTTCTGTGCCCCACTACAATGTGGTGTAGCCAACATTGGCCCAGGTATCGAAGGAATAGGCACATCCTTAGCTCTTGAGGAAAGAGGACCTCTGGTCAAAAAATGATCATTGTTGGCACTAAGATAAGTTTGCTCTGTGACCCTGACTCTTGTTTTTGAATGGCTCAAGGGGAAATATAGTTGATAATTTTCTCTTTAGTCTTAGAGCTACAAATTATATATATAATATAGTGTATATATAGTGTATATATAATATAGTGTATAGATAGTATAATATAGTGTATATATATGGTGTATATAGTGTATATACACTATATTATATATACATACATATATATAATATATATACATACACACACACACAAAACTCTAAGTAAAACCTAAGCTGCTTAAAGAAATCTTGGAGTTTCCTAGTTAGGGACACTAGTCTGTTTATAATTTAGGAACAGAGCCACAGACGCACCACGCTTCTATCTGACTGCTCTAGTTGTGGACAAAGAGGGCTTTCGTGGACTAAGGAAAAGAGGGTGCGAAGGCAGCTGGGGCAGATGGAGGAGCAAAGACCCACTTTTACCTTCCTCTGGTAATGTCCCCACAGCTCTGAAGGGTTGGGTAGTGGCTTCCAGTGTTGGCAACTGGGAGGGAGGTCTGCTGTGACTGTTGGGAGAAGGGACAATAATAACAGACTTCCTGATTTACTCATGGGCCAGATCTCACCATATTTCCTTTAGCTAAGTACCCCCGCAGTGGTCAGGATAGTGCTCAAATACAGCAAATTCTAAATAAATTATGGCTGAAGTTTTATAATTGTTAATTCCAGGCTTTGTGGGCACCATCCCACATAAAGTCATTTACCTTTCTCCTGCTGTTTCAATCGGCTCTTCAACTTCTTTGGAAAAATATTAATTTAAAAAGATAGAAGCAAGCAGCCTGCAGCTGCATTAAAGTTTTTCTCCAGGCCAGAAGCTTTCCTATAAACCATTTGATGAAATAGCAGATGGCAAAGTTACAACCTTTGTAGCTCTAAGACTTAATAGAAACCATGATCAACTACAGTAATGGACTGTCTTGTAACCCAAATTGATGCTTTTATTGTGTCCTGATGGGCTTGTCACTTTTTCTGTCTCTTCGTTAATTATGACAAAAATCACTATAATTATATGTATTGAACAATAAATCTTTGGCCAGTATCCTTTGGATATAATTTGTGTAACTGAATACCCTCCGCTGAGTGTTGCTTTAAGAACTAAAAAGGAGGCAAGAGATGACTCTCACAAATACAGGGCTTTTCTGAATCAGCGTGATTTGGGTTATAATAGACTGCAATGAGAGAGCTAGTATATGCCGGAATACTTTATATTCAGCAGAGCTCATCTGGGTCCCGGCAGTCAGGAATTCTGGGACACAGATTCTCTCCAGTAAAACTCTTTAATTTATACCCGTAATAGGCCGATTAAGGATGTGGCGGTGGAGTGATATGATTATCAGCTCAGCTTCTTCAGGCTGAAGTTATAGATCCCAAGAGTCACATATTCTGCTTCTGTGTGCTGCTGCCTGGGTAGGGGCCCTACGCACATACAGTGGAGTGAGTGGATGCCCCTCTGGTGGAAGGCACCTGAGATTAATAGAAAAGCCTGCTTTTTGTCAGGTATTATAATCAGGAAGATGAAAGTTCCCTCTGTAATACAGTTTTTGCTTCTACTTTCAGGATGCTGCAATTAAAGACCTGGACAGAGAATGGGGACATGAATAATGGTGGTGCCCAGTATTAGCACAACACGTCATTTGTCACCACTGAAGGGCAAATGCAAAACCCTTGAAACATCCCTGGAAAAGAGAAGGGGAGAAAAGTACAAGCTCCTGGGAAATGTGATTTTCCACTCAGCAAGGATGGGAGAGTCTCCATGTTGGAACAGACCACACTTTTTGAACATTGGCACATACAATGACATTTATAATGTGGACGTTATGTGGGACCGATTAATCACACAATTGGTCTGTGGCTATTTCCCAGGCAGGTATTTGACTGCATGTATATGCGCTCCCTGTTTCTCGAGAAACTCTATCCTGCCTATTTTGAGTAGGAAGAAGAACATGGGGTCCATGTAATGGAAGGAAAATGAGTTTGCTGTGAATGATGAGTCTGAGCAGTTTCTACTCAATGTGAATGTGATTTTGTTTCCTAAAGTGTACAGAATATTCTAAAGAAGAATAGAGGGTTGGTGATCTTTCATTCAGGTCAGAATAAACTGGAAAGGCTTGGCTTTAGACAGGGTAGGGACATTTCAACTTGAACTAGTTCCCCAGCCAGGGAGCTGTCGCCCCAAGTCTGTGGGCAACAGGAGCAATTCCAGGTACCATCATAAGTCTGAAGCTGCTGCTCTATCTCCTGCCTCTACCACCTTGGTCCTGGGAATATAAGAGGATCAGAAGGTATTCGTACTGGGGAAGAGAAACAAGGCAGGGGGTGGTCTAGGGCTAGGAAAGGCCACTGATCAGGTTATCTATGATCTGGCAGACGGGTAGAGTCTTGGAGTCCTCGGTGGCTTTCTTAGGCTTTTAGTGAGCTTTACATGTAGAGCACCAACCAGGTACATGGCAGGCAGGGGTGCCGGGTGGCCAGGAGGCCAGGAGGCCAGGAGGCCAGGAGGCCTCCAAGCCCCTGGCAAGTCTTCACTCTGGGCTTCTCTCTCTCTCTCTCTCTCTCTGGCGTTCTTTCTCGCCTTCTCCCTGTCCTGCCTCTTTTGCTTCTGCTTCTCTCAGTGATTATCTGAATACTCCTCCCATGGCCCACAGAAGTAAATAAGACAGCTTGCAACAATGTAACAACTACAGGTACCCCATAAGGCAGGGCAATCCTAATGGTGGGAGGGCAAAAAAGCCTGATAACCATTTACTCTACAGTGGCTTCTTGCAAGGTTTTTCCTGGAGGCTCTGTCATGGATTAGTGTCCTAGAAACCAGAAGGAGGGACTGCTCTGACCATGGCTTGGACATGATAACCTGGGTAGCAGGGAAGGGGAGACTGATGGGAAGCTACAGAGTGACTTCCCCAACACTTGTCTGTGATGGGCTCCTGCACATGTCATCAGACAGATAAGCTTTGCCTTCTGTCTGCCTCTGTACTATTGAGTGGGCTGTCACTGCTAAGATCCAGTTCTAGGTAAATTCTCAGCAAGTTCTTTGTCGCAAGCATTTTTTGCTGCCTAACTAATTGGCTGTAAAGCAATGCTGCCCTAAAAAGATAAAATCTTGAAAAATAAGCAGGGCATTACTTAAAATAGATGCAATGAAACTTGGAACACTAATAACAAAATAAAATAGAACTTTTTCTTTTTTTGCTGAAATTTCTTCCTTCATTAAGAGAGACATCAGGGCTTCCCTGGTGGCGCAAGGGGTTAAGACGCAACCTATGAAGCTGTCCTCAGCCACTGCAGCACGAGTTCGATCCCTGGCCAGGGAGGTGACCCACATGGTGCGGCAGACCTCCCCTATAACACCCGCTGCTCCCCTCAGCAGTGTATTTCAGTAGATCTGCCTGTTCTGCTCCCCACTCTGTGTCTGGTGAATCCTCTCACCCCCCCCCGCCCCGCATCTCTGTCCAGCACCCCAGCTCTTGTATGCATAAATAAATATTTAAAAAAAGAGAGATCAGTTTCCAAAGAGTAGGATGCATGTTTGTAAGTAAGCTTTGTGTTGCACCGTGAAAGCCATCTACATGCTGTTTGTTCTTGGCATATTGTCACACATCCCTTGATAGACATTCCAGACTTCTACGAGAAGTGTGGGTACAGTCTGTGCCTTGGAGGCCTTGGGCTGCCTTCCCCTGCCATGTAGTATCTTTCAAACTGAGAAGCCAATTCTTGAGGGAAATCATCGTCATCCGTCAACTTGATAAAGCCATTAATAATGTCCGTAACTGGAAGAAACACTAACGATGTAATGCATTTAATTTTCCTGCTAGATTCGGCATCTGTTCCATAAATTCGGTAAAGACAGCATTAAAGAACAAGCTGTTGTATCTAAATTAGCTAAAGAATTGATAATTAATGCTCTCCAAGTCTGCTGTGAATGACTAGCCTCCTCTTTTGTATTTACTATAGCAGGGTAAGCTTTTGGTTTTGATGGATGGGAGGGCTGACGTTGCTTACAGAAGGACTTGCAAACTGATATGCTATTTTCTAGTGTAGTATGCAATCTGGCTTTGCCCTCTCTTCACTCTTTTAGTACGTTTTATCGCCCTATTTTCTATCAATTTGATATACGTAATTATTACAATTCACTATTTTAAGACCTCCACATCTAGTCACTGGATAGACCAAACTTGAAACCAAACTGTCAAGCAGTTATCTTATTTATTTATTTATTTATTTATGCATGCATGCATGCAAGAGCTGGGGTACAGGCCAGAGATGCGGGGGATGAGAGGATCCACCAGAAACAGTGGGGATCAGAACAGGCAGAAGGGCCGAAAACACTGCCGAGGGGAGCAGCAGGCAAGTCAGGAGAGGTCTGCTGCGCCATGTGGGTTGCTCCCTGGCTGAGCCGGGGATCGAACTCGTGCTGCAGAGGCTGCGACTTGCTTCATAGTGCGGTGCTTAACCCCTTGCACCACCAGGGAGGCCCAGTTATATTATCTTTTACGACAAAAAGCCTTACGGCCGAGGAGTAACTCGCCCAGTGTTTGCGGCGAAAGTGTTTGCACCTGCGAGCTGGGCGCAGGCCTGGGCGTCTGCAGGCCCCGGGCTCCCCACGTCCCGGAGGACACGGCTGGACTCGAACCTCCTGCGGATGTCGGCGGCGACTCTTCCCGCGATGCAGAAGACAGCTGCCACACAGGTGACTTTTCGGGCTTATTTGTGTAGCACAGCCTTCTAATTTTGGTTTTCTTGAGCTGAGAGCGTGAAAATGGCGAGAAAGCTCAGAATGGCAGCGCTCTGAAGGGAAACCAGGGGAGAAGCCGCCCCCTTTTCTGCTCCTGAGGCCTGTTCTCTGTGTGGCGGGCTGAGACCTGGAGGCTACTCTTGGAAGCTTTTGCTTCTCTTGGTTTCTGTGTTTTGTGACTCAGCTCGGGTTGCAGCTGAAACTTGATATAAAGTCACAATAGGCTGAATTGCACATGCTGTTTCTTAGGCTTCCCCTGATAGTACCTTGTTTGGAAAGAATTATAACTGAAAGGGAAACAAATTCCCTCTGGCCAGAAACTTAACTTAGAAATGCTCATGTGGGGAGGCGCTTTTTTTGTTTGCCATTTAAATAAATCCACTGATGGAAATCAATATTTGTGAGTATTAGGGAAAGCCAAGTAAACAAAGCCCTACGTATTTATTGCAAACAGAAACACCCTAGAGGTTCTCTAGGGGAACTGAGGAGTGGGAGAGGGGTTGTCATTTCCTGCACGGAGAAAAATCAGTGGTTTCGTAAATTTAGCTATAAACAGATTTTTCTTTAAAAATAGTGGTTACTGATAGCTTGCCAAATTTCTGCCTCTGACTAGGAAAACGAATCAAGATAACATTATTAATCAAGATAATCAATAATAACATTATTAATCAAGATAACAAATAACATTATTAGGAATAACTCTTGCTTCATTCTCACCTTCTGAAATTATTGAAAAGGATAAAAGGAGCTGCTGACATTTAGGAACTGGCAGGACACTTGCAAGTAGGCCATGGTGTTCTCCTGTTGGACATAAATAACCACACAGAGGGTCCATATCAGACCAGGGCATTCTGTGTGGTGAAGGGAGAGAAAAAAACAAGACAAAGCCGGATAATTTTGTCTAAGTACAGACAAAAGGACACAAAACCTCCAAATATCCTCTCACCTTTGTTGATATGAGTGACCATCACAGCTCGAGCCTCAATTCGTACCTCTTGCCATGTAGATAAGATTTATCAAGATACCTAGACTACTCATTTCCTGGTGGAACCCAACCCATAGCAAAGTCCTGCTTTTTCTCCCTCCCCCAATCACCAATGCCTAACTTCTGCAATTAATCCTTTCTCACACTTTCTTGCTGAGGTGCCCCAGCTTCCCCCTGGTATGTGTTACCCATTACTGCAAACCTAACCTGTTTTATTAAAGGTGTGTTTCTGGTGAACTTTGAACTGGAAGTTGTTGCCATCATGCACTGGTTTCTCAACAGTCTTTTCAACCCTTCTTTTCTAAAAATAGAACCATGATGTTGTGGATAAAACCCTCTCATTTTCTGCGAATGTTAGACTCAATCTCAAGCCAGGATGATAGCTGACTGGCCTTTCAAATGTTAGGTCCAGGGGTGGGTATGGAAGCCAAATCGGATCAGTGTGACCTAAGGGGAAATGGATTTATTGTGCCACCTTTAACCAGAAATGCTTTAATATTTAGTTTTTTTTTTGTTTTTTTTTGTTTTTTTTGTTTTTTTTTAGAGGCATGTTTTATTTATTTATTTATTTGTTTGTTTGTTTGTTTGTTTTGTTCATACATGCACTGGGTACAGTCAGAAGCGCGGGAGGGTGAGAGAATTCACCAGAGCCAGAGCAGGGAGCAGAGCAGGCAGAAGGACCGAAGTACACTGCTGAGGGGAGCAGCGGGCGGCAGGAGAGGTCTGCGCGCCATGTGGGACCCTCCTCTGGTGGCCAGGGAGCAGCCGGGGATCGAACCGGCGCCGCTGAGGCCGCAGGCGGCTTCGCAACCCAGCGCTCAACCGCTGCGCCACCGGGGAGGCCCTAATATTTAGTATTTTAATGACTAACGTTTAGTTGTGCGGAAGTACTCAACTTTCGGAAATTCAACACGTTTCACTTAGAACAGAAAGTAAAAAATGGAGAAACTTAGTGTGCTTTTATTTTCTCTTATCATTAATTGTATCCTAAGATATTTAAACATAATATAGCATTTTAGATCCATGTTAATAATCTTCAATTTTTCATGTGATACTGACTCTTTTTGAAGGATAATTTTGGTAAGTCCTATTTCATTGACCATATTTTAAACAATATGGCTTCCTCTTTGCCTTCTCTCTAGCCTCCCTGCTTTCTCTCTCTCTCTCTTTCTCTCTCTCTCTCTGAATTTCTCTCTGTCTATATCCCCTTTGTTTCTTCATTTTCTCCACTCTCTTTGTTGAAATTTATGAGACAATGCAGGCTGCAAAGAATCCTCTCAAACCTTGAGGAAATTATTGTGGTATTCTGTTAGTAATGCTGACTTGTTTATCTATTTTTCACATTAAAGTCTATTGTCTAGGATCACTGAACAGAGTAAATTGTGTGGACACATGGTCAAAGCATTAGTGTAACAGCAACAAGAGCTATGAACACAATTTCTGAGTGCTGGGGAGACTGTATGTTGTAAGTTTCATTCTGTCACTTGGGATTAGAAATACAGTCTTTATGCTCTGATATTTCCTAGAGCTTTGCAGGCAGCTTCTGCCTGTGCTGATGAATCTGGTGGCTAAGGAGAGGCACATACTCCATGTAGTCTCTTGTCTGTTGCTCAGGTTGTTTGGGTGCCACATAAAACTTCTTCGTTCATCCGTCAAAACCAAAAAAACTCATTTGCAAACTGATTCACGCAAATTATTTCCTTTTGGCCTCCTTCTCTGTCACCAGACATTTATAGATAGATGTTTTTGGATCTCAATTTGGATCCATTTGTTATTAATAAAACATTTATCACTCTCACATGCATATGGATTTCTGATCAGTTCTGTTTACTGT